TATAACAAGTGGGGTTCCGCAGGGGTCTGTTTTTGGACCGGCTCTGTTCAATATCTTCATCGACGATTTAGATATTGGTATAGAAAGTACGCTTATTAAGTTTGCAGATGATACCAAGCTGGGAGGGGTTGCGACTAATCTTGAGGATAGGGTCATAATTCAAAATCATCTGGACAAATTGGAGAAATGGTCTGAGGTAAACAGGATGAAGTTTAATAAAGACAATGCAAATGCACTTAGGAAGGAACAAATCAGTTTCACACATACAGAATGGGAAGCAACTGTCTAGGAAGGAGTACGGCAGAAAGGGATCTAGGGGTTATAGTGGACCACAAGCTGAATAAGAGTCAGCAGTTTGATGCTGTTGCAAAGAAAGCAAACATGATTCTGGGATGCATTAACAGGTGTGTTGTGAGCAAGACACGAGAAGTCATTCTTCCACTCTACTCTGCGCTAGTTAGGCCTCAGTTGGAGGATTGTGTCCAGTTCCGGGCACCACATTTCAAGAAGGATGTGGAGAAATTGGAGGGGGTCCAGAGAAGAGCAACAAGAATGATTAAAGGTCTAGAGAACATGACTTGAGGGAAGGCTGAAGGAATTAGGTTTGTTTAGTTTAGAAAAGAGAAGATTGAGGGGGGACGTGATAGCAGTTTTCAGGTATCTAAAAGGGTATCATAAGGGGGAGGGAGAAAACGTGTTCATCTTGGCCTCTAGGGATAGAACAAGAAGCAATGGGCTTAAACTGCAGCAAGGGAGGTTTAGGTTAGACATTAGGAAAAAGTTCCTAACTGTCAGGGTAGTCAAACACTGGAATAAATTGCCCAGGGAGGTTGTGGAATCTCCATCTTTGGAGATATTTAAGAGTAGGTTAGATAAATGTCTATCAGAGATGGTCTAGACAGTATTTGGTCCTGCCAAGGGGGCAGGGGACTGGACTCGATGACCTCCCAAGGTCCCTTCCAGTCCTAGTATTCTATGATTCTATATTGGCACTCCACCTCTGAAAGGTTGCTGACCCCTGCCCTCACGTGTTGCCTGGGAGCCAGAGATGCACAAGCCTTTTCAACTGCTTCTATTTGAAGGGCTTGGGCTTGCCGGGCAGCTGTGTTGCCTGGCAGCCACCCAGCAGGTGCAAGCCCTTTAAACAGAAGTGATTAAAAGGGCTCTCAACTCTATGTTGCCTGGGAGCCAGAGATGCACAAGCCTTTTCAACTGCTTCTATTTGAAGGGCTTGGGCTTGCCGGGCAGCTGTGTTGCCTGGCAGCCACCCAGCAGGTGCAAGCCCTTTAAACAGAAGTGATTAAAAGGGCTCTCAACTCTCAGTCCCACTGCTCTGTTGCCTGGGAGCTGCATGGGAGGACTGAGCCCTTTCAACTCCTTCTATTCAAAGGGCTTATGCCTGCTGGGCAGCTGCCAGGCAACAGGTCAGTAGTGGGACCAGGAGCTGCCAGCCATGTTATGTGAATTCTAAGCCTCCATCCCAGACAACTCTGGGGTAAGGTTAGCCCCCAGCAACCCATCCCATCTGATCCAGGTCCCTTCCACTGGCCAGAAGTCAGAGGGCAGGGACACTAAACCAAGCAAATCTCCCGGCAGGGTAGTTTTCAACCCCGCCCCTTCTGCTTGAGGCCACTTCTGAAATTTGTGAAGTTGCCCCGCTAAAAACATTATTGCCCACCGCTGCCCTAGCCTCTGTTTGTCTGGAAATGGGCGACAAGAGTGTGATCACGTGAGGATTACCTTATGTGTTCCCTCCCTCTGGGGCATCTGGTATTGACCACTGTCGGGAGACAGAATAATGGGCTAGATGGACTCGGTCTGACCCAGTGTGGCCGTTCTCATGTTTTCTCAGATTGCAGAGTCAATTAGCCGAGTTAGTTGTAAAAGAAAGGCATTTGAATGAGCCCGTCCGCTACAGAATTCTCTAGCTGGACACTGACCCGGCCCTTAATCCCACCCAGTCTAGCAGCACTAGCAGCCCTTGTGTCCCCCACAAGAAGTTAGCAGTGTTAAATGCTCTTAAATAACCATGTCGCCACTGAACATTTCTGTCGTTACACGCACAGAGAAGGGCAGGCGTCTCCTTGGGAGCCAGTGTGAGTGGAGAGCGGTTTTTAAGCCAGCTCCCCATATGTACCAGGAGCCTGTTTTTAACCATGACAGTTAACCAATGAGCCCAGGCTCATCAGTTAACTGTGTACATGGTTACACTTGCACATCCCTATGGGCAATAGAATCAAGTATCTGCAATATTCCCAGAAATGTATTTCTATCCATCACTGGGTTGAGAAGGAAGGTAGTGTTAGCATGACAATGTTTGTTGCTGCAGCTCTTACAACAGAATAATTTACCAAGGTTTTAGGTAACAGATTTCCATAGAATGCCAAGCATTTGACCTGTGAGTTTGAGATAGAAATTCTGCTTCTGAACCAGTCCAATACACTCAGGCTCCCCTCTACTTTAGACAGGTAAGGCTGCATCCAAGTTGACAAGGGACAAATGGGGTAATGGTCAGAGGCCAAAGACTATATAGCAAGACTTTGCTCTAACAAAATCTAGGAACACAGCACCACTTCATAAATTTTAACACCACACGACACATCAGCCCATCCCATAACTCACCTTTACTACAGCACCCAGCTCTTTCCATTGCTCTGGTCGGGGGTCCACGCCAGTGGGGTTGTGAGCGCAGGCATGGAAAAGAATGACACTCTGCTCAGGAATTTTCTAAAAGAGATGTTACAGAGTGACATGAGACTAGCAATGTTTAAAGTGATGTTTCTTCTTCAGCCACCTAAGTACTGCTCTAGAACATATGACGCCATAGGGCAAGCAATGAATTAAAAAGCATACAATCTCATAAATGAGTAAGAAGAGAGCAACAGTAAATCAGTTTGCTCTCAACAGTTTCAGAGTCTTTAGAGCTGTGGCTCTCAATGAGGGATACATCTATCTCTGGGGGTATAGGGCCTTCCAGGGTACATCAACTAATATAGCCATCCAGTGTTACAGCACGCTACATAAAAAGTGCTCATTAAGTCAATACACACTAAAATGTCATACAATGACATTTTTTCTGTGCTCTATACTATACACTGAAATGCAAGTACAATATTTATACTGCAATTTATCATATGATAAAGAGAAAGCAAGTAACTGTGACACCTTTTTGTATGTTTATGTCTGATTGTGAAGCAAGTAGTTTAAGTGAGGTGAAACTTGGGGTACACAAGACAAAACAGGCTTCTAAAAGGGGTACAGGTTGAGAACTGTTGGTTTAAAGCAGGGTTAGTCAACATGTGGCCCGTGGGTGGGATCCTGTGAACATGGCCTCTACTGGGAACACATTCCCCAAGGGCGAGGCATCTCCCAAGCGGGGTGAGCAATTGAAGACGCAAGCGGACGGGCTGGCTGGAACAGATGGGTGTTGGCATTTCTATCCCTCAAAGAGGAGGTGCCGGGAGCGCCGAGGCATTGTGGGAAATGCTGGTTGCTTAACCTTGTGGTCAGAGCCTGAAAGGTGCTGACTGGCTCACACTGGCCACATTTGGGTCTGGTGCTACAGCTTAATCTTTGTATTCATGCCCATCCTTTTTGAAATAAGCTATTTGCATATATATTTACATGTACATGCAACCACACTTAAGTTGTGGCCCTTGGCATGTGCTGAGAGTGTCATTGTGGCCCACAGGGCTTCCAAAGTTGAGTAACCCTGGTTTAGAGGCCCTATAATTTAGACACAGCAACTACAGAGTGAGGGAGCTGCTCAGTGATCTGAGATTCAGGCTCAGTCAAGAAGCTAAGTACATAGGGCCGCGAGACTACAAACACCACCTTCTCACTCGACAGTCAACTCACAGAAATGTCATCCAAGGCTCCAGCGAAGTCAAAACCACAAGTTTTGGGATCATAATAGCGATAGGCATGCAGCTGCATGCCAGCATCCCTGAAAATGGGGGTGTGATTGCCCCAGGATGGTTTAGGCAGGTACACATCACGGCTGTACTTGAAGAATCGTTGCTACAACAAAAAGAGAACAAGTTCAAATGGTGTATTCCACTACACACTGAGAAAGTCAGTCACACAGCAATAAGGAGTTTAATAAATGCATGAATTTCATCCAGACATGTCCTCCCCTCCCATCATCTTGTCCAGGGACTCACCAAGAAACTGGCTCCAACTCTTAGAGATCCAGTCCCAGAAATGGTCTGCACAGTGACATACTGTAAGAAAAGGGATGCAAATATGTAAGAAGTTGCACACAAAAATTATATTAGAGACCCTAACATCTGTTTTAGTGTACATGAGCCACACAGAAAACCTCTAGTTACAACTCTGGGGATGTACTAGTGTAGTTGATTAAATGAAAAGCAAAAGCTTATCAATTAATGCTATAGACTACACACATCTCCCCCACCCTTGTCAATAATTTTTTTTAGCAGGCTGGCCAGCAGGCCAGCTTAGTCCTGGCTTGTGCCAAGTCCGGGACCTACCCCTGCTGTGGCTCGGCATTTACAGTGTATTAGGAGCCAGACTGGCAGGCAGCTGAGCTCAGTTCTGACTTGTGCCAGGTCCAGGAGCTCAGATATCTCCCCCCTCCTCCCCCCACCGCCGCCGCCAGGGACTACTGCCACCCCGTACTATTATCTCTGTATCAGAGGCAGCAGTGTGGGGCGACAAGCAGCAGGTCCATGAAGGGAGCTGGTTTTTAAACTGGCTCCCCTTATGGACCAGCTCTCACCTAGCACCTCATGCTGCTGCTCTGATACAGAGACAGTAGTCTCTGTCGGGTGGTGGTGGGGGGGCAGTTATACAGAGGCAGCAGCGCTGAGTGGCAGGGGGCTCCTTGGGAGTGGAGCTAGAGTGCACTGGCTGCCAGCCTCACCCTCCAGGGACTGTAGAACAGTCAAGTAACCGATAAGAATTCATGAGGTTAAATCGACTATTCAGGTAACCAATATTTAACATCCCTATATAGCTCTATTAACTCATCAATACCTAAATCCTATATAAGGCAGCAAGCTAATTCATCAGGCCTGAGAAATTCAAACAATGTCTCATGGATCTTTTACTCAATTTCAAATGGTAATTTACAACGAGATTAAAAAGGAATTAGCTGAACAGCAAGACACGGCTCTACACCAGAAGAAATATTATCTCATCACAGGACTGGGAGCCAAGAATTGCTAAGCTCCATGTCCAGTTCTAACATGGACTTCTTTGTGGCCTTGGAATAGGTTGCTTCCACTCTTAAGTGTTCACAGCAGTTTTCAAATGGCAGCACAGCCAAGCCAATGCCACACTATGCCAGAACACTTGGTTCTATTGCCTGCTGGATGAAAGCGGACAAGTCATTTAGGCTCTATCCTCTCAATTCCCCCCTTCTAACCTGAGAACAATGATATTGACCTCCTTTGTAAAGCACTACCGAGCTGGAGTTACTATCCCTGCCTCTTTAAATACTTTCCAAGAGACAGGTCTGTATGTGGCTCTGGAATCCTTCTGTTGACAAATACAAAGCTTACAGAGTTCCCTGTTACAACCACCCTACTTGTTCAATATTTTATTCCAGTCTTCCACCTAGCTCTTTACCCGGCCATTCTTGATAACCTCATTGGTGTCACCCAGTGCCAGCTCAGCTGATGCCTTATTGAACTCCGCCAGTCCTGCAATGGGTAAGTACTCCTTGTCCATCTTCTTAGCAGCTATTTGGGCCTCTGCCTAAAGAAGAAAACACACATGTTCAGTTTCTGAAAACTTTCTGCAGGCTCACCAAGGCTCCAGCAGAGGTGATCTAGACATTAGTTTTTCACTTAGTACTCATTATGATGGTACGATATCATCCAGGAATAAATGGAAATAATCTGGACATCAACAAGTTTAGGCTTGAAGTCAGTGAAGGTTTCTAGCCATCAGACAAGTGAAATTCTGGAACAGTCTGCCAAGATGAGCAGTGGATCCAAAAACCTGTCTTCAAGACTGTTTAATAAGTTTATGGAGAGGGATGGTATAATGAGACTGCCTTCAATTGCAATCTGTGACTGTAACTAGCAAACATCCCCAACAGCAAGTGATGGGACATCGGATAGGGAGGGCACAGAATTACTACAAAGAGTTCTTTCCCAGGTGTTTGCCTAGTGAATCTTCCCCATATGTTCCAGGTCTCGCAGATGGCCATAAGGATTTTAACCCGGGGGCAGATCAGCAGCAACCTAAGGGTTTTTTCATCTCTATCTAGCATGGGGCATGAGTCACTTGCAGGTTTAAAAAAAAAAGAGTAAATGGTGGATTATCCATAACTTGAAGCCTTTAAACCAGGGGTGGGCAATAATTTTTGCCCAGGGGCCACTTCAAAAATTTTGGTCTGGGGCTAGGGAAGCCCCTTCTCCCCCCCTTCCCCACTAGGCACCCATGCCCTGGAAGAGGCTTGGCGCACTCCTCCACCCCCAGGCCAATCAGCCCTTCCACCTCTGAAATGTAGCAGGTGCCCTTATTGACTATTGAATAGACAAAGCAAACTGCATCGACTATTTGATTAATCTAAATTTAACATCCTTACTTCAAATCTGGTGCTACAGCATAGACAAGGCTCTGACAAATGATGTTAACCTATCTAAAAGCAAGCTAAACTAAGCAGGTTAAAAAAAATGGTTTTGGCTCCAAGAGCTTTGATTGCACAAAGGCTCCCACTAGCTTTAAAATTCATTTAGCTAAACTGGTTTACATATATAGGTGTGGTTCCCCAGCACAGATTAGCCTCAGGACTTCAGTTAGAAAACTAAATGTTCACACACTACATAGGTCAGATAGCAGCATCAAGAACACTGTACTTAAACCACATTCTCCATAGCACAATTGGCCATCTCCACAGCTTATTAACAATAGACACGGGGAACATCGCAGCATATCCAGAACAGATGGACAGTCATTGCAAAGGCTCAGTTGCCTGCAGGAAGTTTCCATCTCAGAGAAGTAGATTTCAATAAGTTCAACAATATAGTCTGTATCCCTTCTCCGTGTCCAGAATTTCAAACTGGATAAGAGTGAAGCCAGTCAACTCATCACAATCTCTCAGACCCCCCCTTAATCAGATTAGCATCAACTCTCTCACTGAGATGGCATGGTTCAGTGAAGTGTTCTTGCATCAGTTTTGGTTTCTAAAAATAAAGTCTTAGGTATAAAAGATCCAGGCAACATGATCTCCAAGAGCTGTTCTGTTTTTTTGCTTGACAAATTTTTCCCTCCATCCTGTGCACTATCCCCCCAACTATCGTGGCTCTTTGCCTTTAACGGGTTGGCCATCCCTGATCTAGATCATCCCTGACAGAGGTCTAACCTGCTCTTAAATATCTCAAGTGATGAAGATTCCACAACCTCCCCAGGCAATTTATTCCAGTACTTAACCACCCTGACAGGAGCTTTTTCCTAATGTCCAATCTAAACCTCCCTTGCAGCAATTTAAACCCACTGCTTCTTGTCTTATCAGAAGCCAGCGAGAACAATTTTTCCTCCCTCCTCAATACCCTTTTAGATACTTGAAAACTACTATCATGTCCCCTATCAGTCTTCTCTTGTCTAAATTCAACAAGCCCAGTTTTTTCAGTCTTCCCTCATAGGACACGTTTTCTAAACCTTTACTCATTTTGGTTATTCTTCTCTGGATCTTCTCCAATTTCTCCACATATTTCTTGAAATGTGATGCCCAGAACTGGACACAATACTCCAGTTGAGGCCTCATCAGTGCAGAGTAGAGTGGAAGAATGACTTCTCGTGTCTTGCTCATTCCTGTTAATGCATCTCAGAACCATATTAGGGTTTTTTGCAACCGTGTCACTCTGTTTACTCCTGTTTATTTTGTGGTCCACTATGACCCCTTTCAGCAGTACTCCTTTCTAGTATGCATGAAATGACTTCCCATTCTGTAGGCATGAAACTGATTGCTCCTTCCTAAGTGGAGTCCTTTGCTTTTGTCCTTCTTAAACTTCATCCTGTTGATGTCAGACCATTTCTCTTGTTTGTCCAGATCATTTTGAATTGTGACCCTATCCTCCAAAGCACTTGCAACCCCTCCCAGCATGGTATCATCTGCAGTCCAGGTATCATAGAAGTCAGAGGCAAGATTAGTTTTTATTTTAAACATGAGCATGATTTGGTCAGAAAAGTACTTAATTTCTCCCTTGATATGTCAAGGTGATCCAATGGAGTCATCTTCCAGACCATTTTAGTGCTGGCAGTAGGAACCCACACTAACTCCATCTGCCATCTTTTTTATTGGAAGCAAAGTCTTTCCTGCAGTTGTCACAGACTCTCTTCACCTTATAATCTTCTAGCTACAATACTTTATATTGCATGATACTTGGACTTTACTTCCACAGTATCTGGTGCTAGGCTTACTTTGCGGACACTGTTCAGGACATATGGCTTTCCGTTATCGTCCCGGTATGCCCCAACACCCAGGTTCATCTTCTTAGCATTGGTGTCTCGTTTAAAGGCTTCAGTGACCCCCAAAATAGGATCAGGGGGTCCCATCTCCACATGAGACCACCAGGAGCTGCAACAAGAAATACAAGAGGAAGGATTACATTTTTGAACAAAATAAAATGGTCCATGGTCTTATGCTGTTTGTTACGTCTTGGCCCACGAGCTCAACTGTAGCAGGATCTCTTTAGCACTGGTATTGCCTTACAATACTTCAGTGTACCTACAGAATCAATAAGCTATAGCTTCCCTCACTCTCCTAGACTGACCCTATTCTGACTGACATGTTTAAGGGAGACTAAACATGCCACCTTCTCAGTTAAGCCAATATCAAGTACAGGCAGTCCCCGACTTACGCGGATCCGACTTATGTCAGATCCGCAGATACGAACGGGGCTGCCACAGAGTACACGGACTGCGGGACCTTGCGGTCCTGCCGCCCGTGTACTCTGGGGCTTTCTCTTC